GGAGATGGAGGACAGGGGACAGGGGACGGAGGCCATGGACCGGAGATGGAGGACAGGGGGCGGGAGGGGGAGCGGGGACGGGACGGAGGCCATGGACGGGAGATGGAGGACACGGGGCGGGAGGGGGAGCGGGGACAGGGGACGGAGGCCATGGGCGGGAGATGGAGGACAGGGGACAGGGGACGGAGGCCATGGACGGGAGATGGAGGACAGGGGGCGGGAGGGGGGCGGGGACGGGACGGAGGCCATGGCGGGAGATGGAGGAGGGGACAGGGGACGGAGGCCATGGACGGGAGATGGAGGACAGGGGACAGGGGACAGGGGACGGAGACCATGGACGGGAGATGGAGGACAGGGGACAGGGGACAGGGGACGGAGACCATGGACGGGAGATGGAGGACAGGGGACAGGGGACGGAGGCCATGGATGGGAGATGGAGGAAGGGGACAGGGGACGGAGACCATGGACGGGAGATGGAGGACAGGGGACAGGGGACGGAGACCATGGACGGGAGGATGGAGGACAGGGGGCGGGAGGGGGAGCGGGGACGGGACGGAGGCCATGGCGGGAGATGGAGGACAGGGGGCGGGAGGGGGAGGGGGGAGGGGACGGAGGCCATGGGCGGGAGATGGAGGACAGGGACAGGGACGGAGGCCATGGGACCGGAGATGGAGGACAGGGGGCGGGAGGGGAGCGGGGACGGACGGAGGCCATGGACGGGAGATGGAGGACACGGGGCGGGAGGGGGAGCGGGGACAGGGGACGGAGGCCATGGGCGGGAGATGGAGGACAGGGGACAGGGGACGGAGGCCATGGACGGGAGATGGAGGACAGGGGGCGGGAGGGGGAGCGGGGACGGGACGGAGGCCATGGGCGGGAGATGGAGGAAGGGGACAGGGGACGGAGGCCATGGACGGGAGATGGAGGACAGGGGACAGGGGACAGGGGACGGAGACCATGGAGGGAGATGGAGGACAGGGACAGGGGACAGGGGACGGAGGCCATGGGCGGGAGATGGAGGACAGGGGACAGGGGACGGAGGCCATGGATGGGAGATGGAGGAAGGGGACAGGGGACGGAGACCATGGACGGGAGATGGAGGACAGGGGACAGGGGACGGAGGCCATGGACGGAGATGGAGGAAGGGGACAGGGGATGGAGGCCATGGGCGGGAGATGGAGGAAGGGGACAGGGAGACGGAGGCATGGACGGGAGATGGAGGACAGGGGCCGGAGGGGGAGCGGGACGGGACGGAGGCCATGGCGGGAGATGGAGGAAGGGGACAGGGGACGGAGACCATGGGCGGGAGATGGAGGACAGGGGACAGGGACGGAGACCATGGACGGGAGATGGAGGACAGGGGACAGGGGACGGAGGCCATGGACGGGAGATGGAGGACAGGGGACAGGGGACGGAGGCCATGGACGGGAGATGGAGGAAGGGGACAGGGGACGGAGGCCATGGGCGGGAGATGGAGGACAGGGGACAGGGGACGGAGGCCATGGGCGGGAGATGGAGGAAGGGGACAGGGGACAGGGGACGGGACGGAGGACACGGCCGGGCGGAGCAGTGGCACCTGCTGGCCTCCGGGCCGCAGCCCCTCCTCCCCAAGGGGAGCCCCCGGGTGGCGGCTGCGTCCCGGCCCCCGAGCCTGGCGCTGGGTGAGCCTGGGGTCAGGGTGGCTCCGAGGATCCTGCCAGGACGGAAGCCCTTCCTGTCGGGTTCTAATGGCTCCGGTCACCGCCATGAGATGTGCTGTGTCCGGGGAACACAGTCACTGCGGACCGGGCTTCCCGGGTCCTGGGGGCTGGCCGCTCCTTTGAGCTCAGGAGTCGGGGGCTGTGTTCTTCCTTGTTCATCCCCAAGGTGTGTGTGTGGGGGGGGGGGGGGGCAGCCATGCCGGGTCCTGTCCGGGGGCGGCAATGCCGGTCCCTGTCCGGGGCGGCCATGCGGCTTCCTGTCGGGGATCACTGTGCCGGTCCCTGTCGGGGGGGGGGGGGGCCGGGGGCTGGGGCCGGTCCCTGTCGGGGGGGGGGGCCGGAGGCCGGGGCCGGTCCCGCCGGCGTTGCCAGGGGGGCCTGCATTGTTGATGGCCCGCAGCCAGCACCACAGAGCCCACGGCTTCACTTTGGTTTCTGCACACGGAAAGGGAAGCGTGTGCGACGATGGCGTAAAGCAGGACAGTTACACACGTCAGGACAGGGCAGGCTGGACCAGGGGACGAAGAGGACTCTCACACGTGTGCTCATCACGCTGCCGTTGTCCCGAGGCCCCTCCTCAGCGCTGGCCTCGTCAGAACCGAGTGGCTGTCCTCTCCCCGTTTTTACATGACGGATCCGTGTTGTGTGTCACACGTGGGCGAGTGCTGCCATGGAGAGACGGGGACACGTGTGGAGGGCCCCTGGCCCACCGTCCAGGGCCCATGGCCGCTGACTCTTCCTGCATCTTTCCCGCTGTGTGTGGCCCGTCGCTGTACCGTCCCGCTCCTAAAAACACAGGTTTTCTACACAAACCGGAGGCCTGTGCACAGCATTCGTGGGCAGGCAGGGCCCTAGGCCAGGCCCGTGAAGAGGGCCGAGCAGGGCCTCTGGCAGCTGGCTGCCAGCTGGGGACTGCATCACTCTGTGCTGCCCCCTGGTGGTCAGTGCACGTCATAGCGAGCGATCGAACTCCCGGTTGAACTCCCGAGGGGACACTTTGCATATTGCCTTGTGTAAAGGCAGATTCTGTTTGAAGCTTGTTTTCTAACCACCCTGCACTGAACATGTTGTCACATCCTGTCACGTTCTGCACGCACCAGCGCTGGCTCGCGTTGTTCGGAGGCCCGTCACGCGGGAGCCTGTCTCGGGCTGGCCCGGGCTGTCTCAGGGCGCCTGGGGGCCTGTCCCGGGCTTGCTGTGGGTGTTCCCTGAGGATAGGTTTCCGGGAATGGCTGCCTGCCCCTGACCCCGGAGGCTGAGTGCCCAGGCAGGGCTGCTCTGGGGAGAGCGTAACCCCGAGAGCCAGCTCCCCCCGCGGGCCCCCTGACCGGAGCCCGTTCGATCCCCAGTGTGGGGTGCAGGAGGCGGCCGATCTGTGATTCGGTCATCATCGATGTCTCTCTCCCTCCCACGCCCCCGAAATCAGTGAAAATAGATTTTTGTGAACGGGGAGGAAGGGGAAGAGGGGGAGGAGGAGGACAGCGTGCCACAGCCACGCCCTCATTGGCCCTGTCGTCCTTAGAGGAGGAGGGGGGAGGAGGGGGGGAGGAGGGGAGGAGGGGGGGAGGGAGGGTGAGGAGGGGGAGGAGTAGGAGGTGGAGGAGGGGGAGGCGAAGGATGAGGGGGAAGAGGAGGAGGAGGAGGGGGAGGAGGAGGAGAGAGGGGGAGGGGAGGGGGAGGGGGAGGGTAGGGGGAGGGGGAGGGGAGGAGGGGGAGGGTGGGTGGAGGAGTAGGGGGGGGGTGAGATGGGGGCGGAGGGAGGGGGGGGAGGGGGAGGAGGGGGAGGGTGGGGAGGAGGAGGGGAGGAGGAGGGGGGGGGGGTGAAGGTTCGTGGCCGTGCCTCACGGGTCTCTGTCTTTTCTCGGGGGGAGGGGGGGGACGGAGGAGTGGGCGGAGGTGGGGGGGGAGGGAGGAGGGGGAGGGGAGGGGGGGGGGGAGGGGGGGGGGGATGGAGGGAGGAGGGGGGGGGGAGGGGGGGGGGGGGGGAGGGGAGGGGGAGGAGGAGGGGGGGGGGGGAGGGGGAGGGGGAGGGGGGGGGGGGAGGGGGGGGGGAGGAGGAGAGGGGAGGAGGAGGGGGAGGAGGGGGGGGGGAGGAGGAGAGGGAGGGGGAGGAGGAAGAGGAGGGGAGGAGGGGGGGGGAGGGGGAGGGGGAGGGGGGAGGGGGGGGGGGGGAGGAGGGGGGGGAGGGGGAAGAGGGGGGGAGGAGGGGGAGGGGGAGGAGGGAGGAGGGGGAGGAGGGGGGGGGGAGGGCGGGTTGGGTTTGGCTGAGTCGTGGGCCGCGGTTGAGGGAGGAGGGGGAGGAGGAGGAGGAGGGGGGGGAGGAGGAGGGGGAGGAGGAGGTGAAGAGGGGGAGGAGGAGGGGGAGAGGAGGGAAGGGGGAGGAGGGGGGGGAGGAGTGAGGGGGAGGAGGGGTGGCGGGGGGGGGAGGAGGAGAGGGTGGAGGAGGGGGGTGGAGGGGGGGGGGGGAGGGGGGGGAGGGGTCGGGGGGGGAGGGGTAGGAGGAGGGTGGGGGAGGAGTAGAGGGGGAGGAGTGGGAGGAGGAGGAGGTGGAAGAGGAGGAGAGGGGGGTGAGGAGGGAGACGGGGGAGGATGGGGGGAGGGGGAGGAGGGGAGGATGGGGAGGGGGGAGGGGGGGGAGGGGGGGAGGAGGACAGCGTGCGTGGCGTGTCCCTCACCGGTCTCTGTCGTTTCTGAGGAGGAGGGGGAGGGAGGAGGAGGGGGAGGGGGAGGGGGAGGGGAGAGTTGCGGTGGCGGGTTGGGGTCAGGGGTGTCTGTGGGGAGGAGGGGAGGGGGAGGAGAGGGAGGAGGAGGAGGAGGATGGGGGGGAGGGGGAGGGGGAGGAGGGGGAGGGGGAGGAGGACAGCGTGCCGTGGCTGTGCCCTCACCGGTCTCTGTCGTTCTCAGGAGGAGGGGGAGGAGGAGGAGGGGGAGGAGGAGGTGAGAGTGAGAGGAGGAGGAGGGGGGAGGAGGGGGCGGAGGAGGAGTGTGAGGAGGGGTGAGGAGGGGGAGTGGGAGCGAGGAAGGAGGGTGAAGAGGAGGAGGAGGGGGAGGAGGGGGAGGAGGAGGAGGGGGAGGAGGAGGAGGGGGGAGGAGGGGAGGAGGAGGAGGGGAGGAGGGGGGAGGAGGGGGAGGGGGAGAAGGAGGGTGAGAGGAGGAGGAGGAGGGGGAGGAGGGGAGGAGGAGGGGGAGGAGGGGGAGGAGGGGGAGGGGGAGAAGGAGGTTTGAAGAGGTGAGGAGGAGGGGAGGGGGCGGAGGACAGCGTGCCGTGGCTGTGCCCTCACCGGTCTCTGTCGTTCTCAGGAGGAAGATGAATGCTCGCGCCCCACCGCCCCCGGGGAAGGCGGCCGCCCCGGCCGGGCAGCGGGCGCCGAGCCCCCAGCGCGGGGCGTCCCCCGGGCGCCAGCCCAGCCCGCTGCCCGCCAAGGAGAGCCTGCGGGAGCGGCCGGTGGAGCTCACGGTGGTGCTGCCCGGCGGGCAGGAGACCAGGAGCGTGGTCAGCGGGAGGTGAGGGCTGCGGGGCTCCGGCCGGGGGTGCTGGGGGGGGGGGGGGCTCAGACCAGGGGTGCGGGCGGGGGGTCTCAGGCCGGGGGTGCGGGGGGGGGGGCTCAGGCCGGGGGTGCGGGGGGGGGGGCTCCGGCCGGGGGTGCTGGGGGGGGGGCTCCGGCCGGGGGTGCTGGGGGGGGGGCTCAGGCTGGGGGTGCGGGGGGGCTCCGGCCGGGGGTGCGGGGGGGGGGGCTCAGGCCGGGGGGGGGGGGCTCAGGCGGGGGGGGGGGGGCTCAGGCCGGGGTGTAGGCGGGGCCCCTCCACGCAGGACACCAGCCACCGGTCTGTGCCCTCGTCCTTGGCGCTGCAGTGCCACGGCCAGGGGCAGCCTCCTGGCCTGACCCTCCCGGTCCCTCCCCGGCCGTGCAGGCGGACAGGCAGCCCGCAGCCCGTCCTCTGGGCCCAGGTTAGAGGAGGAAATGGCCGGCCGGTGTGGCCCAGTGGGTGGCTGAGCATCAGTCTAGGAACCAGGAGGTCTCAGTTCCATTCCCGGTCGGGGCACAGGCCCGGGCTGCAGGCTTGATCCCCAGTGGGAGGTGTGCAGGAGGCAGCCGGTCCATGATCCTCATCATGGATGTTTCTCTCCCTCTCTCCTTCTCCCTTCCCCTGTGAGATCAATAAACCTATATTAAAATAGTAATAATAAAGAAAGAAAACCGGACCCACTGGTGTTAAATGTAAGGGCCGGATCCCCAGGCCTGCGGCTCCCACCCGCTCTTAGCTCTGGTCCCCCCTCCCCCCCGCGCCTCGTCCCCCAGAAGGCTCGCCCCCTCCATCGGAGCAGAGCACCATCACCCTGGGGTGCCTAGCGCTGAGCGGACGGTGCCAGACCAGGCCGTAGTTGTGTGTGGGACCGGTTTTGTGTGACTGCTTCTGTCCTGACCGGTCCCTTTAGAGCAAACCAAGTTCACGGCGGAACGGGGAGCGGAGCTTTGATCTCAGCGATCACGCAGTTTTGTGGCAGCGAGGGTGCCGCGCGGCCAGCTCTGTCGCTCAGACGTACAGTGCATCTGCGTCCCCCTGAGGCCGGAGCGGCCCTTAGGAGGGCCGGGCGGGCGTAGACCTCAGGGAGCAGTGAGCTCGGGGCCTCACCGCTGGGTGGCCGTCACAGTCTCCCCCCTAAAAACATCAGTTAGATCCCGTCAGAGGCGGCGGCTGCGCAGTCACGCCGCTGACTCCTCCTGGGGGTCTCGCTCCCGCTGGCTCCTCGTTCCGTCCGGGACGGAGACCAGACCTGACCGCCTCTGTCCCCCCTCGCAGCCAGGCCATGATGGACCTCCTGGTGGAACTCTGCCTGCAGAACCACCTGAACCCGTCCCTGCACGCCCTGGAGCTCTGGGCCCCGCAGGCCCCGCAGCCGCTGAGCTTCAAGCCCAACACGCCGGTGGGGAGCCTGAGCGCGCACACGGTGCTCCTGAAGGAGAAGGTGCCGGAGGAGAGGGCCACGCCCGGCCCGCCCAAGGCGCCCCAGGTCAGTGGCCGGCCGGTCTCCCCGGCACACGGGGGCCGTGGGGGGGGGGCCGCTGCGGGTTCGGGGCCTGAGAGCGTGTGGCACACGCAGGGCTGTGGGCGAGGGGCTCCCTCCCGGCCAGGCGAAGGTGGGCACCAAACGGGGTTAGCTGAGGAGGCGCAGAGTCCGTGTGCGGTGGGCCATGTTAGCAGAGGCCCGGCCTGCAGCGTCCTCCGGACGCCCCGCAGAGGCGGGAGGGTCCTGGAGCCTGCACCTGGCAGGGTGGCAGCTACGGAGCCTGTGCAGTGCACCAGTGTGACCCAGACCTGCCTTCTATTTATTTATTTTTTAATATATTTTATTGATTTTTTACAGAGAGGAAAGGAGAGGGATAGAGTTAGAAACACACATGAGAGAGAATCATCGATCAGCTGCCTCTTGCACACCCCCTACTGGGGATGTGCCCGCAACCAAGCTGCATGCCCTTGACCGGAATCGAACCTGGGACCCTTCAGTCCGCAGGCCGATGCTCTGTCCACTGAGCCAAAGCGGCCAGGGCCACACTGAGTTTTTCAGACACTTCCACCTCTCCCCGGGGAAGGCGCGTCTGAAGCCTCATGCTCAGTCTGGTCGAACCCGGGAACGGCGCTGCGTGTGCTGGGCTGCCCCTGGAGAGCCTGCTCGATGCCACCCCGTGTCGTTAACGTGTGCTCGGCGGGCAGGAGCGCCTGCGGGGAGTGCCCTCCGGGCACTGCTGTCCCCTCCTGCGGGCCGTCCCCCCGTGGCCCCGGCTCACGGGAGACACTGCCGCTCAGCGGCCCCACACGCTCCGCCGTGAACAGACGTGCTCACACGTGTGTGTGTCCCCAGAAGTCGGTGCGCCTGGTGGTGAACTACCTGCGCACGCAGAAGGCCGTGGTGCGCGTGAGCCCCGAGGCGCCGCTGCGCAGCCTGCTGCCCGCCATCTGCGCCAAGTGCGGCGTCAGCCCCGAGCACGTGCTGCTGCTGCGCGACCCCGAGGCCGGCGAGGCGCTGGAGCTGTCCAAGTCGCTGGGCGAGCTGGGCATCCGCGAGCTGTACGCCTGGGACAACCAGAGAGGTGAGCCCCGGGACACGCACACGGTAAACACGGGAGCACACGGCGAAACACAGGAGCGTGCGGCGAAACGTGGGAGCACATGGCGAAACACGGGAGCACACGCCGAAACATGGGAGCACGTGGGGGCATGTGGGGGCACATGGGAACATGTGGGAACACACAGGAACATGTGGGAACATGGGACTCATTGAAGTAAAACGTGAGCCCGCGGTAACATGTGGGGGTATGCGGGGACACAGGACTTGTGGGAGCACATGGTAAAACGTGGGAGCACGTGGGAACGCTGAACATGTGTGAGCACATGTGAGCACGTGGGGACACGTGGGACACATGTGGGAACCCAGGACACAGAGCACGTGGGAACAAGCAGGACGGGACATACGGGAGCACTGGTGAACGTGTGGGGACGGGACACGCGGGACCAAGGCACCGCTCCGAGCGCTCGGGGGCACCCGCAGTACAGCTGGACGGCGTCCTCAGGGCTGGCGTGCTGTCCGGACGGACCAGGGCGGGCGGGCAGCAGAGGGACTCACTGTCGCCCCTGGTGGTCCTCTGCCTCTGGGCCCGCCCGAGCCCCGTCCCCCTCCCCTGGGAGCTCCCGTGAGCTGAGGGGGGAGGCGAGGACAGCGCCTCCTCTCAGGAAGCCACCCAGAGCCCACACCTAATCCGTGGTCACGTGGACTGGCTTTCCGTGGCCTTTCCCGGCTCCCCCATCTCAAACCTCACTCACAAGCCAGGGACAGCCACGCCCCGCGGCTCCCCGGCCCGCCCACGCCAGCGCCCCCGCCCCGCAGCCCGGAGGCAGCTCATGGCCTGGCCGTCGTCCCCCTGGGAGCCCGCACGGGCCTGAGGCCGCCGTGTGAGCCCGGGCACGTGGCAGGGGGAGGCGGGGGTTGGACAAGACGCCCATGGGAGCCGTGGTCCCCGAGGACACGGAGGCGGGCTGTTAGACAGACAGGACACCCCCTGTCTAATATCTTCGGCCTCAGAAGGCTTAGGATGGACTTCACAGATCCTCTCTTGGTATCTGCTGATTTTTATTTGTTCCACAAATATTGAGCACAGTGGGCTTCCAGAATATGGACGTACTCAAGGTTTTCATGTTTATCTACAACTTTTTAAACAATGCTTGCAATAAGAAATTATTTTAATCACAGCCAGGACGGTGGTGACATCGGTGCCTCTGCCATCTGCCCCCATCTGCCCCCCTCACCCCCAGGCCCTGGAACCGGGGTCTCCCTGGCACTCAGGAAGGGGCTCGGCCATGAGCACACACACAGGGACTGTTCTCCATGGAGTCTCTGGCGGCAGAGAGCCTGGCCCTGTGCCGGGCGGACGAACAGACAGCCCCCGTCCCGGCAGACGGACAGACAGCCCCCAATCCCGGCTGACGGACAGACAGTCCCCAATCCCGGCTGACGGACAGACAGTCCCCCTTCCTGGGCTGATGGACAGACAGCCCCCATCCTGGGCTGATGGACAGACAGCCACCCCTCCCGGGCTGACGGACAGACAGCCACCCCTCCCGGGCTGACGGACAGCCACCCCTCCTGGGCTGATGGACAGACAGCCACCCCTCCCGGGCTGATGGACAGACAGCCACCCCTCCCGGGCTGATGGACAGACAGCCACCCCTCCCGGGCTGATGGACAGACAGCCACCCCTCCCGGGCTGATGGACAGACAGCCACCCCTCCCGGGCTGATGGACAGACAGCCCCCCCTCCCGGGCTGATGGACAGACAGCCCCCCCCCCCGGGCTGATGGACAGACAACCCCCGTCCCGGGCGGACGGACAGACAGCCCCCGAGGTGGACGAGAGCCCAGCCTGGGCAGGGGCTGCTGCCGGCGGCCTGGGCCAGCCGCCCTCACTCTCTCCTCGCTGCCTTTCAGTTCTTCTGACCAAGACGCAGTCGGAGCCCTCCCTGCGCTGCCGAGGTCAGTGCCTCCGGCTGCCCTGCATGGCGGGGGCGCACGGAGTGACGGGGCCGAGGGCTCCGGGCGCTTGCTGGCGGAGGAGATGCTGTGGCTGTGTCTCGGCCCCGGGGCTGCTGAGAGAGGCCTGTGCTGTGGGCGGTGCTGTGTGTCTGACCCAGAGAGCACGGCGGCGGTGAGACAGCGGCCTCAGAAGGAATCTGGGCAGACACACCGGCCTGTGACGCCATTTCCTTCTTACTGTCCTCCCCTGTCCTCCCCTGTGCTCGCCTTCCTCCCCTGTGCTCACCTGTCCTCCCCTGTGCTCCCTTGTCCTCCCCTGTGCTCCCCTGTCCTCCCCTGTGCTCGCCTTCCTCCCCTGTGCTCACCTGTCCTCCCCTGTGCTCACCTGTCCTCCCCTGTGCTCCCCTGTCCTCCCCTGTGCTCGCCTGTCCTCCCCTGTCCTCCCCTGTGCTCCCCTGTCCTCCCCTGTCCTCCCCTGTGCTCCCCTGTCCTCCCCTGTCCTCCCCTGTGCTCCCCTGTGCTCCCCTGTGCTCCCCTGTCCTCCCCTGTGCTCCCCTGTCCTCCCCTGTGCTCACCTGTCCTCGCCTGTCCTCCCCTGTGCTCACCTGTCCTCCCCTGTCCTCCCCTGTGCTCCCCTGTCCTCCCCTGTGCTCCCCTGTCCTCCCCTGTGCTCACCTGTGCTCCCCTGTGCTCACCTGTCCTCCCCTGTGCTCGCCTGTGCTCACCTGTCCTCCCCTGTCCTCCCCTGTCCTCCCCTGTGCTCACCTGTCCTCCCCTGTCCTCCCCTGTCCTCCCCTGTCCTCCCCTGTGCTCCCCTGTCCTCCCCTGTCCTCCCCTGTGCTCCCCTGTCCTCCCCTGTCCTCCCCTGTGCTCCCCTGTGCTCCCCTGTGCTCCCCTGTCCTCCCCTGTGCTCACCTGTCCTCCCCTGTGCTCACCTGTCCTCGCCTGTCCTCCCCTGTGCTCACCTGTCCTCCCCTGTCCTCCCCTGTGCTCACCTGTCCTCCCCTGTGCTCCCCTGTCCTCCCCTGTGCTCACCTGTCCTCCCCTGTGCTCACCTGTCCTCCCCTGTGCTCACCTGTCCTCCCCTGTGCTCGCCTGTGCTCACCTGTCCTCCCCTGTCCTCCCCTGTGCTCACCTGTCCTCACCTGTGCTCACCTGTCCTTCCCTGTGCTCACCTGTCCTCCCCTGTGCTCACCTGGCCTCACCTGTACTTTGCCTCCCTGTACTCGCCGTGCTCGGCTGTAGCTGTGCATTCCTGTGCTTGCTGTGCGGACCCGCTCTTGCTTGCACATACCCGTGGTCACCGCACTCACAGCTGCTCACCGTCCTGGAGCTCCGATCTGTCTTCTGTGGAGTTCGGGGCACTGTGGTTTGTGATGTCTGCCCTTTGCCGTCGTAAATATAACGAGGAGTTCAGATTTTGCACTTATTCTGACACTGATTACTTATCAGTTGTATATATCTGCACACGTATGTGTATATTTAGATATACATGCACACATAACACACATAGACACATGCATATGTATTGGGATTTTAATGAACCTTTTGGATTGCGTGCACACAGGCATACACACACACAGTTCGTTACCATCCCAATGAGTTTTTATTTTATTTTATTTTATTGATTTTTTATAGAGAGGAAGGGAGAGGGATAGGGAGTTAGAAGCATCGATCAGCTGCCTCCTGCACAACCCCCACTGTGGATGTGCCCACAACCAAGGTACATGCCTTTGACCGGAATCAAACCTGGGACCCTTGAGTCTGCAGGCCAATGCTCTATCCACTGAGCCACACCGGTTAGGGCCCAGTGAGTTTTTATAGTTTACAAAGATTTCTGCACATGTTTGATAGAGTGTTTAAAACCAGATCTGGTTTATAGAAAAACAAGTGAAAGTGAGGACATTGGCATGGGTGCTGGCCGCCCTGTCCCTGTCCAGGGCCCTGCAGCCTTGTGGGTGCTGGCTGCCCTGTGGGTGCTGGCTGCCCTGTGGGTGCTGGCTGCCCTGTGGGTGCTGCCACCTGTCCCTGTGGGTGCTGGCCGCCCGTCCCTGTGGGTGCTGGCCGCACCGTCCCTGTCCAGGGAGAGGACCAATGCCAATCCCTTGGCCGTGTCCTGAGGCCGTGGTCTGTGGGTGATGCTCTAGCCTGGGTGCCAGGAGCAGGCTCTCCACGCCCACCTGGTGGGCACCTGCCACTTCCTGGCAGCACGGCCTGTCTGCACGCAGGCAGGCTGCGCACACGATGCTCCCATGGCAGCCGCACTGTGGCCGCTGCCGAACGGGGCATCATTCCTGTTAACCCTGCGCCTGGGCGGGCTTTCCTGTGACCAGCCGTGAACCCCGCATGCACACCTGGCTGCTGAGTGACCTGCATGGCCAGCCGCCTGCGCCTGCCCAGAGCCTGGCGTGTGACTAACCCGGGCCTCCGCCTGCAGAATGAGTGTGCGGACGTGTGTGCTTGTGTCTTGGTTCCTTTACTTCGGTTTTGAGAGGGAAGCATCAACTTTCTTGCTCGCTTATGATGCATTCAGAGGTTGGTTCATGCGTGTGCCCGGACCAGGGATCGAACCCGCAGCCTGGGTGTCTGGGGACAGCGCTCCGGCCACTGAGCCCCCGGCCGGGCCTGGTGTGCGCTGTTGGGGGGAGGGTGCCTGTTGCTGCCGCGCCTCGCGGTCTGGTTTCTGACAGAGCATCCGTCCGGCGACGAGAGGGGCTGCTGCTGTGGGCGGCGGACTGCGAACAGCCAGGGCTCCCACCCGGGCCTGGCGGGGGCGGGGGCGGGGGCGGGGGCAGTGCCTGGGGAATCGTGTCCTTCGGGGCACCAAGGTTTCCCCCCTGCCATACCCACGGCCTCGGAGAGAGACAGGATGTGCTGAGGGCTGAGGCCGGAGCGGCCTGGGGGGAGGGGAGGCTGTGAGTGATGGGTCAGCAGCCGCCCGGCCCGGTGGGCAGGCAGCACCGGCCCGTCTGCGAGGCTGGGGCTGCACGCCGCTCACCCCATTCTGCAGACGAGCAGACTGAGGCTCTGGGCACACCCAGCACCCCGGGGTGGGGCGTGTTGCCTGCAGGGCCTGGGGCTCGCCCCAGAGTTTCCGATTCAGGCGTCAGGACTGGGTCCGAGTACCAGGCATGCGACCGTGCCGGTCCCTGGTCCCTCCTCGTTCTGGGAGCCACAGCCCCGGGCGAGGCTGCCACCCGCTGACGGGCCAGGGCTGCGGGGTCCCCGTCTGGCCACGGGAGCGCCCGTTCCAGCCCATTATGAGCCCCGTGACTCCCTGCCCAGGACGTGGTCCGGGTGCTGTGCTCACCGCGGGAGGCCCGGGGGGCCACGCTGTGCGGCCCCTGGCTGTCTGACCTCGGTGCCACACACGGAATGAGGGCATGCTACGGCGGAACATCAGCCGCAATTGAGAAATAAATTAATAATGAACACCCCCAAATAATAAAATATTTATTTTTAATATATATTTTTATCGATATCAGAGAGGAAGGGAGAGAGGGAGAGAAACATCAATGATGGGAGAGAATCATGGATCGGCTGCCTCCTGCACGCCCCCTACTGGGGATCAAGCCTGCAACCCCGGGCATGAGCTCTGGCCGGGAATCGAACCCTGACACTCAACCACTGAGCCATGCCTGTTGGGCTAAAATAGTTTCTTTAAAAAAAAAAAAAAAATCCTGATGAAGAAGGGAAAAGATTGAGGAGAGAGAGAGAGAGAGAGAGAGAGAGAGAGAGAGAGAGAGAGAGGGAGAGAGAGGGAGAGAGAGAAGCCAGGGGCCCCTAGAGAATGCCGCAGGAGGAAAGCAGGCTGGGGAGCGGAGGAGATGGGGGTGTGCGCCCAGAGGGGAGACGCCCGTCCCCATGAGTGCGGCCCCGTGTTTCACGGCTGAGCTGCGGGCTCGGGGTCGTGGGCGGCTCCATACTGATAGGAAAGCAAACGTCAGGAGGAGAGGGTGTGTGTGTTGAGGCTTTTAACGCCAAATGTTGATGCTGGAAAGTAACTCAGAACTTCCCTTCCCTCCCAGAATCCATTTGGAAGTCCTCCCTGGGCAACGGCGAGATGGACAGAGAGAAGAAGAAGTTCCTGGGCTTCTTCAAAGTGAACAAGAGGAGCAACGGCAAGGTGAGGGGGGAGGGGGAGGGGGAGGGGGGAGGGGGGAGGGGGGAGGGTTAGGGGTGAGAGTGAGGGGTGAGGGGTAGTGTGAGGGGTGAGGGTGAGGGTGAGGGGTGAGGGGTGAGGGTGAGGGGTGGAGGGTGAGGGGTGGGGGTGAGGGTGAGGGGTGAGGGGTGAGGGTGAGGGGTGAGGGTGAGGGGTGAGGGTGAGGGTGAGGGTGAGGGTGAGGGGTGAGGGTGAGGGGTGAGGGTGAGGGAGAGGGTGAGGGTGAGGGGTGAGGGTGAGGGGGGAGGGTGAGGGGTGAGGGGTGAGGGGTGAGGGGTGAGGGTGAGGGGTGAGGGGTGAGGGTGAGGGTGAGGGGTGAGGGTGAGGGGTGAGGGTGAGGGTGAGGGTGAGGGTGAGGGTGAGGGTGAGGGGTGAGGGTGAGGGGTGAGGGGTGAGGGTGAGGGGTGAGGGGTGAGGGTGAGGGGGTGGGGTGAGGGGTGAGGGTGAGGGTGAGGGTGAGGGGTGAGGGTGAGGGGTGAGGGTGAGGGGTGAGGGGTGAGGGTGAGGGTGAGGGTGAGGGTGAGGGTGAGGGGGGAGGGGGGAGGGGTGAGGGGTGAGGGTGAGGGTGAGGGGTGAGGGTGAGGGGTGAGGGTGAGGGGTGAGGGTGAGGGTGAGGGGTGAGGGGTGAGGGGTGAGGGGGGGGGGGTGGGGGGGAGGGGTGAGGGGTGAGGGTGAGGGGGAGGGGTGAGGGGTGAGGGTGAGGGTGAGGGGGAGGGTGAGGGGTGAGGGGTGAGGGGTGAGGGGTGAGGGGTGAGGGTGAGGGTGAGGGTGAGTGTGAGGGTGAGGGGTGGGGGGTGAGGGTGAGGGGTGAGGGTGAGGGTGAGGGGTGAGGGTGAGGGGTGAGGGGTGAAGGGTGAGGGTGAGGGGTGAGGGGTGAGAGTGAGGGGTGAGGGGTGAGGGGGAGGGGTGAGGGTGTGAGGTGTGAGGGGGTGGTGAGGGTTAGGGGTGAGGGTGAGGGTGAGGGGTGAGGGGTGAGGGGTGAGGGGTGAGGGTGAGGGTGAGGGTGAGGGTGAGGGTGAGGGTGAGGGGTGAGGGTGAGGGTGAGGGGTGAGGGTGAGGGGTGAGGGGTGAGGGTGAGGGTGAGGGGTGAGGGTGAGGGGTGAGGGGTGAGGGTGAGGGGTGGGGTGAGGGTGAGGGTGAGGGTGAGGGTGAGGGTGAGGGTGAGGATGAGGGTGAGGGTGAGGAGTGAGGGTGAGGGGTGAGGGGTGAGGGTGAGGGGTGAGGGGGGGAGAGGGTGAGGGGTGAGGGGTGAGGGTGAGGGGTGAGGGTGAGGGGTGCGGGTGAGGGTGAGGGTTGCGGTGAGGGGTGAGGGTGTGAGGGTGAGGGGTGAGGGTGAGGGTGAGGGTGAGGGTGAGGGTGAGGTGTGAGGGGTGAGGGGGGTGAGGGGGAGGGTGAGGGTGAGGGGTGAGGGTGAGGATGAGGGTGAGGGTGAGGGGTGAGGAGTGAGGGTGAGGGGTGAGGGTGAGGAGTGAGGGTGAGGGTGAGGGGTGAGGGGTGAGGGTGAGGGGTGAGGGTGAGGGGTGAGGAGTGAGGGTGAGGGTGAGGAGTGAGGGTGAGGGTGAGGGGTGAGGGGTGAGGGTGAGGGGTGAGGGTGAGGGTGAGGGGTGAGGGTGAGGGGTGAGGGGTGAGGGTGAGGGTGAGGGTGAGGGGTGAGGGTGAGGAGTGAGGGTGAGGGGTGAGGGTGAGGGTGAGGGTGAGGGTGAGGGTGCGGGTGAGGGGTGAGGGTGAGGGGTGAGGGGTGAGGGTGAGGGGTGAGGAGTGAGGGTGAGGGTGAGGAGTGAGGGTGGGGGTGAGGGTGAGGGGGTGAGGGTGAGGGTGAGGGTGAGGGTGAGGGTGAGGTGAGGGTGAGGGTGAGGGGTGAGGGGTGAGGGTGAGGGGTGAGGGGTGAGGGTGCACGCTGGTGTCCGAGGTGCTCGCCCGCGCAGCCCCGGGCGGTTCCCAAAGGGGGACAGCAGCCCCTCCGTCCAAGGGGCTCGTCGGGCCGCCCCGGTGACTGGTGTCCCGTCCGCACGCAAACCTGAGCGGTTCTGGAAGTGGTTTATCCGCCAGCGGACTTGGCCGGAGCCGTGCCCGCTGCCTGCCGGTGCCCAGGCGGGCGCGGCCGTCTGCCCGGCCCGGCGGGGGAATGGGGCACGCACGGCCGATGCCCAGGCTGAGCGGGCCAGGAGCTGCCCAGGGCAGGGAACGCCTGGAGACGCTTTTGTTTGAGCCGGGAGTCTGCTGGGCGCTGAGTCTGACGGTGCAAATGCCAGGGACGACACAGGCTGTCGGGGCCAGGGCCGCCCCCTGCCCGTCCTCCTCTCCTCTCTCGGGCTGGCCAGGAGCCGTTTTCCTTTCTTTTCTTCTTTTTAAAAAAGTATTTTTATTGATTTCCGAGGGAGAGAGAGAGAGAGAAACATCCACGTGAGAGACAATCATTGATCAGCTGCCTCCTGCCGCCCTCTGCTGAGGATCGAGCCCGCAACCTGGGCACATGCCCTTGACCGGAATTGAACCCAGGACCCTTCAGTCCCAGTGAGGGGTGTGCAGGAAGCAGCTGATCCATGATTCTCTCACATCATTGCTGTGTCTATCTCTCTCTCCCTTCCTCTCTAAAATCAATTTAAAAATATATTTAAAAAAATAAAAAATCAATAGAGAGCTGTGGTTTCAAAACCGCGGCGTCTGGAGCAGCGAGCCCGAGGAAGCTTTCAGGCTCGGCTGAGGGAGGCGCAGGGGCCTCTGTCGGTGCAGAGGCTGAGCCTGGGAGTGCGGCCACGCTGGCCTGTGCCTGGGCTGTGCCTGGGCTGTGCCTGGCCTGTGCCTGGCCTGTGCCTGGGCTGTGCCTGGGCTGTGCCTGGCCTGTGCCTGGCCTGTGCCTGGCCTGCGCCTGGGCTGCGCCTGGGCTGTGCCTGGCCTGCGCCTGGGCTGTGCCTGGCCTGCGCCTGGGCTGTGCCTGGGCTGTGCCTGGGCTGTGCCTGGCCTGCGCCTGGGCTGCGCCTGGGCTGTGCCTGGCCTGCGCCTGGGCTGTGCCTGGGCTGTGCCTGGGCTGTGCCTGGCCTGTGCCTGGCCTGCGCCTGGGCTGTGCCTGGGCTGTGCCTGGGCTGTGCCTGGCCTGTGCCTGGCCTGCGCCTGGGCTGTGCCTGGCGTGTACCTGGCCTGTGCCTGGCGTGTGCCTGGGCTGTGCCTGGCCTGTGCCTGGCCTGCGCCTGGGCTGTGCCTGGGCTGTGCCTGGCCTGCGCCTGGGCTGTGCCTGGGCTGTGCCTGGCCTGTGCCTGGGCTGTGCCTGGCCTGTGCCTGGCCTGCGCCTGGGCTGTGCCTGGGCTGTGCCTGGGCTGTGCCTGGCCTGTGCCTGGGCCTGTGCCTGGCCTGTGCCTGGCCTGTGCCTGGCCTGTGCCTGGGCTGTGCCTGGCGTGTACCTGGCCTGTGCCTGGGCTGTGCCTGGGCTGTGCCTGGGCTGTGCCTGGCCTGTGCCTGGCCTGTGCCTGGCGTGTGCCTGGCGTGTGCTGAGGAGGGTGCCGCGGGAGCACCATTTCCCCGCGATGCCATGATGTGCTGTGCTTCTGTGCAGGTGGAGCCGGGCCGGCTGTCGGGGGCGGACAGTGACGAGGACTCGGGAAAGCTGGTGCCGGGCAGGGGCTCCCACGTGAGTGCCGGCCTCCGGAGGTGACATCGCAGACGGGGCGGCAGAAGTGCGGGCTGCGCTGGGCTCTGGGTCCGGGCGGCTGGCGCTCTGGTGGCCGAGGTGGCGCTCCCCGGGGCCTCCTCGCCGAGGAGCCGGAGCTGGCGGCTTGGAGACGCTGCCTGTCCCTGAAGTCCCCCTCAGAGCACCTCAGACCCTCCCACGCTGGCAGATAAGAAGGTTCTTCTTCACTGCAAACCCCGGGCAGGGAAGAGCTCACCGCGTCTTAGACACACGGACCTCCGAAATGGGTCTGAGAGAAGTCTGACGCTCACTGTCACCTCTCAGAGCTGGCGAAGGCGAGCTCTCCCACAGCAGTGAGAAACCCTGCGTTGTTCTCCGTGGTTCCACATGTCCGTGCCAGCCCGTGCCACGCTCCCTTCTCCCAGCGTGCTCTCGCACCTGGGTTCTGGCATCTTACAGCGCAGTGCGCTCTGAGGCTGGAGTCGGAGTCGGGTTTGTAAGGCCCACGAGGCTCCAGGTCGGAGGCGGCTGTGGGGTGAGCCCCGCCGTGGTCACAGACGGGGTGTGGACCGTCCCGCTGGCCGGACGGCGGCCCGGGAGGCGGGTTTTCTCGAAAAGCCCTCCTTACTGGGGGAGAGGCCGTTTCTTCAGGTGCCCACGTTCCCCCGAGAGACGAGTCCCGCTGACGAATAGAAAAGCTTCCGTGTGAACTCGGGGCCCCTTTCCGTTTAAAAATGAAACCTCTTTGGGTGGCGTTGGTTCACAGCGGGTGGGGAACGTCCGGCCGCGGGCCGGGTGGGGCCCTGCAGCCGTTGGTCTGGCCTGCCAGGCGGGCGGTGTAGTTCGATGTCTGACGCAGAGGGCAGCTGACCTGCCCGTGGTGGCCTTGTGAGGCCCGAGCGATGTTAGACGCCGCCCGGGCCCTGGGCAGGAAGAGGCCGCCGGCTAGTGGGACCAGGCGGTCTCGGGAGGGACTTTCTCCTGTTCTCGCTGGGGAAGCAGCCCCGAGACTGAGTGTGAGGCTGGGACCATCCCGAGAGCTGGCCACGCCCCGCGCCCTCTCCCCCACCCCGGCGGCCGGCCAGCTGCACCTCTGCCCTCTCCTGTGCCCACCAACCGGGCCTTTTCCATCCTCAGAGCCGGGGTCAGAGCCGGGGGTCAGGAGCCGGGGTCCGGGAGCCGGGGGTCAGGAGCCGGGGGTCGGGAGCCGGGGTCAGGAGCCGGGGGTCGGGAGCCGGGGGTCCGGAGCCGGGGGTCAGGAGCCGGGGTCCGGGAGCCAGGGGTCGGGAGCCGGAGGTCCGGAGCCGGGGGTCAGGAGCCGGGGTCCGGGAGCCGGGGTCCGGGAGCCGGGGGTCAGGAGCCCGGGGTCCGGGAGCCGGGGTCCAGGAGCCGGGGGTCCGGAGCCGGGGGTCAGGAGCCGGGGGTCAGTAGTTGGGGTTCGGATGCCGCATGACGTGCAGTGGGGGCTGACTCCCCGGAGCGGCCGGTTCAGAGCTGGAGGGGAAGCCACGCTGGGCCAGTCTCCCTGCGCCAGGGCATGGCCGGGTCTCGGTCTCCCACTTCCCAGCCCCACGCCACCACCTCGGTTTGAGGACATGGAAACATGGTCAGTCTCCATTCACTTCTGCAGACGCAGTGGTTTTACCAACACGCTTATTTTACATGTCACCCCAGCTGGACACCCGTGTTTTCCTGGTGCCAGGGGGTGGTCAGCCCGTCTGATTTACGGGGAATGTATTCCCGGGCCCAGGCTTGGCCGTGGCCGTGGCTGTGGCCGTGGCCGTGGCCATCCTCAGACACAGGACCTGGCGGCCACGCCCCTCAGGGCCAGGCGGACGGAGTGAAGTCCCAGTGTGGGGCGCAGACCCTCTGCTCTGAGCGGGTGACGGCTGCCCGCTGCGGGACTCTGGCCTGGTTTTATTTATTTTTAAAAAATATGTTTTACTGATTTTTTACAGAGAGGAAGGGAGAGGGATAGAGAGTTAGAAACATCGATGAGAGAGAAACATCAATCAGCTGCTTCTTGCACACCCTCTACCGGGGATGTGCCCACAACCAAGATCATGCCCTTGACCGGAATCGAACCTGGGACCTTTCACTCCGCAGGCCAGCACTCTATCCACTGAGCAACACCAGTCAGGGCTGGCCTTGGTTTTAAAAAGCCAAATTCTATCCGCACGACTGATCCAGAGGGCGTGGATGTGAGACTCAGGCGGTGAGCACACACACACACACACACACACACACCATGCACAGGGGTGTGTGGGGAGAGGTGTGAGCTTTGGTTGACAGCACCACCCCGTAAACCCGATCAGAAGGAAAAGGAATAAATGACAGAGTTAATGTGCTTCCGACGGACAGCAAACTGTCCCCGGACGCGGTTCTCCTGGCCAGTAAACCCGATTCGCCATGAGAATAAAATAGTGACAGGCTCTCGGAGCGAAGGTAAGTGAGAAAGCCGCATTCCGTGAGTGTGAGCCGCTACCGCGGGCAGCGTGAGCCTCCTGCGACGCCGTAGGTGGGCTTTTCCCGTCTGCCCCGTGAAGCCGGTGACGATGGAGGTATTGTCATCACGGCCGCCGCGTCTCACCGTTCTGAACCGGTTTCACGACCCAGGCCCGACCCAGGCCGACGTGTGCCCGCCCCGACTGGCCCCGAGGGAGGCGGGCAGAGGCCGGCCCCGCCTGTAGGAGTCCCGACATGGATGGGGACACCTGCCATAAAGGGATGCTTCGGGGGAAAGTCATTAAAAACTAAGCTGCAGCCAAAACCGGTGTGGCTCAGTGGGTAGAGCATCGGCTTGCGGACTGAAGGGTCCCAGGTTTGATTCCAGTCAAGGGCATGTACCTTGGTTGAGGGCAAATCCCCAGTAGGAGGTGTGCAGGAGGCAGCCAATCAATGACTCATCATTGATGCTTCTCTCTCCCTCTCCCTTCCTCTCTGCTGTCAATGAAAATATATTTTAAAAAGCAACAAAACTCAGCCATAAAGCAAATCCCATCATTTCAGCTGCCCCGCCCCTGTTTGTCAGGACCCTGTGCTTCTGTGCCGTTTGCCGGTAAAGAATCCCGTCCCAGGAGAAGCCTGGCTGAGGAACACGGAAGCCTGGCCCCGGGAAGCAGACACCGTGTGGGAGGGCCCGGCGTGGGGCTGGGCTGGGGGCGGGAGGGGAAGAGGAAATGGAGACATCTGTAACATTGCCAACAATTTAAAAAAAAAAAATTTTTTTTTAATGAAAAGAAACCAGTCCCAAGTGGATGCTCCAGAAGCAGGTGTGTTGAGCCAGTTCGGCCACATGGGGGCAGTGTCTCCTGGCCTGGGAAACCTCCCTTCCTTGTCTGCAGAGTTTGGCCAGGGCCCAGCCACCTGCCTGGGATGCAGAACCAGCTTTCGTCACAAACCCACTTGGGCAAGGTTTTTTTTATTTTTATTTATTTTTATTTTTTTTAAATATATTTTATTAATTTTTTACAGAGAGGAAGAGAGAGGGATAGAGAGCTAGAAACATCAAGGAGAGAGAAACATTGACCAGCTGCCTCTTGCACACCCCCCACTGGGGATGTGCCTGCAACCAAGGTACATGCCCTTGACCGGAATCGAACCTGGGACCTTTCAGTCCGCAGGCCAATGCTCTAGCCACTGAGCCACACCGGTTTCGGCGGGCGAGGTTTTTTTAGTGTAGCTGGTGCCTTTCCAAGTGTCTCCTATTCGAACGTGTAAAACAAGTGGAATTCTAAGAGCCGATGCCTTTTACTCCCGGGCAGGGTCCGCGTGATTCCCGCCAACGCGGTCAGCTCAGAGCCGCTTCCCCGTGGCCTCGTGTCCCCGGCCCTCCGCTCCGCACGGCGTGGCCCCTGGCTTCCCTAAGGGCCATGCCCCTTCCCGGTTTGGGGCAGCCCATCCGTCTGTCTGCAGCGCGACACGCTCCCGGCCCCGCCTGAGGGGTGCATGCCCAGCCCCGCCCCCCCCTTCTCTCCATGGCGGGGCGGGGTCCTTACAAAGACACCACAGAGATGTCAGGGAATCAGGACCGAACCAGGGCGCCAGCCGGCCTGGCTCCGTGGCTGAGCGTCCACCTAGGAACCGGGAGGGCAGGGTTCGGTTCCCGGTCGGGGCACAGGCCCGGGTTGTGGGCTCCATCGCTGGGGGGGCGTGCAGAAGGCAGCCGATCCATGGTTCTCTCTCATGGATGCTGCTGTCTCTCCCTCCCCCGCCCCCTCAGTTCAGTAAAAACACATACTTTTATGTAAAAGTGCACCCTGTGTGGCTGCTGGTGGTTCCCCAGAATTAGCCCACAAATGACTGACTTTCGGTTTCTCAACACGTGACCCTCCATCTGGGCGACAAGGACCCGCAGGGCCGCGGCGAGGGGGCCCGTGTGCTGCCCCAGGACAGACGGGGCCGTGCTTACAGCGCAGGGGGCCCCTTCGGCACAGGCCCGGGGGCGCCTCCCGCCAAAGTCCTGGGAGCGGCGGCCCCGGGAGCCGGAGCCTTTGGGGCCACACGGCCCCACCTCGGGACAGCAGCGGGGGTGCAGCGTGGCCCGGGAGGACCGGACAGCACACGGGGACGTCCTGCTGGGCCCTGCGGGCATGGGGGGGTCTGAGCCACGTCCTCAGCACACACCCTCAGCGGCGGCGGCCCTCGCCGCGGTGTGCTGGGAGCGTGGCCTCCGTGGCCACGTGGTCCTCAGTGTTCAGAGCGAACGGCGTGAGCAGGGCACGGAGGCGGCGAGTGGGCAGGGCCCGCGGTCGGAGCTCTGGGGGAGCAGGCCCTCCGAGCTGAGGGGTGTCCGTCCGTCTGTCCCCGCAGGGCTCCCTGACGACGCCAAACTCCCCGTCGGTGACCTCCCGCTCCCTCACGCTGGGCACGTCCCTGTCGCTGAGCAACATCTCGGGGGTGTCCGCCAGGTCCGACGTGAAGAAGCGCCGGGCGCCGCCCCCTCCAGCCCTGCCGGGGGCCGGGCCGCCGGCGCAGGACAGGGCGGCGGAGAAGGTAGGGAGCGGCAGGTGTCTACATGGTCCCGGACGTCAGGGGCGTCCGAGGTCGTGTGCGGGTTGGGGAGCGGGAAATGGCGGCTGTTCCGTGGTTTCCCGTCCCCGTGGGTGCGGTTCCCCGTCCCCCTGCAGCCGGAGGGAGGGCGTGCTGCGGATTAGCCACCTCCGCTCTCCATCCTCCCCGCCCTGACCTTTCTGAGCCCGGGCTGAGGGGGACGGGGCGGCTGGAGCGGCTCCGCTGTCCAAACAGCCAGTCCTCGCCCGGCCCGGCAGCTCTGCCCTTTCGTCCTGCCCGTCAGTCCGTCCGCGCTGCGGGCTGTGACGGGCCCGGGGGAGCGTGGGTCGGTCCCCTCCCCCGTGGTCCTCGCAGCCGGGCTGTTCACGGTTCTCCCCCTCCACCCTGTCAGCCGCCAGGAACACATCCTCAGGTGCAGATTGTAATAAAAAAAAACTAGTGGAGCGGAAGGAATTTCCAGGAAATTCAGCTAGAAAACGAATCAGCTATCAAGGTCAGAGAAAACAAAACTTAAATTTAGGGAGAAAATGTAGGCAGCAGACACATTATGCATCCTGGCTGCAGAGAATTCCTGCTGACGACAGCTTGTTTGCATAATGATAATCTGTTGCAACAGTCTATATACAGTATCTATATATATATATATATAAAAGGCTAACATGCTACGTGTCCCTCCGACCAGTCGCTATGACGTGCACTGACCACCAGGGGGCAGGTGCTCAATGCAGGAGCTGCTGAGCGGCAGTGACTAGGCAGCGGTGGTTCTTGGGTGACGCAGCCTGAACCAGAGAGGAGGACCTGCTTCCTGGCGGGCCTGCACAATTCCACCTCCGGCCGTGGTGGTGATGGGGCGCTGTCAGCCCTGAGGCTGGTTCCTGCAAACTTGCGTTTGCGTTCCACAGCCAGTACGGCCGCAGCTTTGCAGAGGGCCCTCTCACACTCTGGATCCTTCACTCCGCAAATGCCCTTCGAGCCACGGCCCACCCCAGGGCGGCTGGCCAGGGAGGGCCACGGGAGGTTGGCTCAGGGCGTGTCCAGCCCATCGGCCCAGCCCCTCCCACCTGCCACCCTCTGATGAACTTCCTGTCAGTGTGCATGAACCCATGCACCGGGCACTAGTCCACGCACAACTAAGCCGTGAATTCAAACCTCATGCTGCAGTTTTTAAAAGATTGGGGGCTGGCGGTGGAAGTGTGAGTGCGTGTGTCTGATGAAACATCGATGAGAGAGAAACATCCATCAGCTGCCTCCTGCACACCGCCTACTGGAGATGTTTCCGCAACCAAGGTACATGCCCTTGACCGGAATCGAACCCAGGACCCTTCAGTCCGCAGACCGACGCTCTGAGCCAAACCGGTTTCGGCGAAAAAATATTATTTTTTTTAAAATAAAAACTAAAGACCAGAAAAATGTATGCCAACTGTTGGTAGTTAAACTGAGTGTTAATGAAGAGGTTTTTTTCTTCCTTTGGCTTATATGATTTTTAAAATTTGACATTGGCCCAGCTGGTGTGGCTCAGCGGTTGAGTGTCAACCAACCAGGAGGTCACAGTTCCATGCCCGGTCAGGGCACAGGCCCGGGTTGCAGGCTCAATCCCAGAGGGGGGCGTGCAGGAGGCAGCTGATTGATGATTCCCTCTCATCCTTGATGTTTCTGTATCTCTCCCTCTCCCTTCCTCTCTGATATCAATAAAAATGTTTTTAATAAAAAGTAAAATAAAATTTGAAATCGAGGAGTGCTGCCCTGTGCTCCGCTGCGAAGCTCCTGTCCCTGCAGCTCCCCAAGGCGGAGTCAGGCCGGGAGGGTGCCCGTCTCCCGCTGTCAGGAGCCCTCAGAGAGGGGCACCGCCAGAGCTCACAGTGTCCGGGGGGTCTGAGCTTCCCTGGGCACCCCGGGGCCACCGTGTCCCCAGGCGGCTCCCCACCGGGGCCAGAGCCTCCGACACGGGGTGTCCTGTGCTCCCAGATGTCGCTGGGCTCCCAGTCGGACCTGCAGAGGAAGAAGAGGCGAGCGCCTGCGCCCCCGCCCAGCCCCCAGGTGCCCCTGCGCAGGAGGGACCCCGCGGAGGACTGCGCGGAGGACCGCGAGGAGAACAGGAAGAGCACGATGGGTGAGTGACCGCGTGCGCTGGCCGTGCGGCGCCCACACCCCGGTGCCTGGCCGCAGCGGCCCTCACAGCCCTGACACGGACACGAGCGCCAACGAGGATGCCGGCAATAAAGAGTGGAACGGGCATGTGTGTGCAACTAACAGGCCTGTGCTGCAGGCGTGGCCTGTGCTGCAGGCGTGGTGTGTGCAGCTAACAGGTGTGGTGTGTGCAGCTAACAGGTGTGGTGTGTGCTGCAGGTATGACGTGTGCTGCAGGCGTGACGTGTGCTGCAGGCGTGGTGTGGCGTGCGGAAGGCGGGACGGCGAGGATGGCTGAGGACGCGCTGACAGTGGAAGCGGCTGTGTGTGCGGCCGTGTTTGAGGACGGAGGCCTGTTCTCGGTGCCCTGCAGGCTGGGTGCTGAGGAGTCGGGTCTCGGTGACAGCAGCTCGGTCATTTCTAACCGCCTCGCGTGACACGCCCTCCCACGCGCAGTGCAGAGCCTGCCATGGAGGACACGGGCCCAGAGGACGGTGGGCCTCTGCGGGGGCCTGTCCCGCCCCGCGTGTGCCGGACGCGGAGAGAGCGGGGCTGGCAGGCAGCCGGGGCGCGCATTCCCACGCCGCCCGCCTGCGTTGGCATTCGGAGCGTGCGGGCAGAGGGAGGGGCGAGGGGAGGGGGCCGGCGCCGGCTGCAGGTGCAGGAGCCCGAGAGGCTGTCAGGTGGCCGCGCGGTGCCGCCTCGCCCGGCCGCCCACAATTTGCCTTTGACCGCGGGGAGCAGGCTCCCGGGACAAGTGGCCATTGTGGGCGTGCGGGGCGGGCGCGAGGCCCTGGCGCTGGGTCAGGGCCCCGTGAATGCCCCTCTGTCAGCGCCGGGCCCGTCGGCCTGGGAACCGCTCCCCGAAGGAGCCGAGCCGGTGTCTCCCGTCCGCTCATCCCCCTCCCAAAGGAGCCACTGTCCGCTTAGTGAGGACTGCTCAGGGCCCCACAAAACAACCACCGCCTCCTCTCCCGCCCCCTACCCCCCCTTTTCCTGTCCCCCTTGCCCGCCCCACCCACCTCCTAACGGGGGTCGGCAGCCTCAGGTTTAGTTCACTATTTTAAATAGGTTTTCACCGATGTCAGAGGGAAAGGGAGAGGGAGAGAGAGAAACACCCATGATGAGAGAGAATCGTGGATCCGCTGCCTCCTGCACGCCTCCCCCTCCCCCCCCCAGGGAATCCACCCACAACCCGGGCCTGTGCCCTGACCGGGCATCGAACCCTGGCCTCCTGGTTCACAGGTGGAGGCTCAGCCCCGGAGCCACGCCGGCCGGCGCGAGAATGTGCACTGTGCTGGGGAGGGACGGGAGGGACGGGAGGGACGGGGTCCATCTCCCAGCCCAAGGACCACAGCCAGAGCGTCCAGGGTGTCTCGGCACAGAGGGACGTTTAATTTTTCTAATAACCGGACCCAGAGCAGGAGGAGTCTGACCCCCGAAGCCTGGAGGAAGCGTTTGGAGAGAGCGATGAGGCGGGCGGGGGGCCCGGGGCGTTCCTGCCGGCGTTAGCCGAGCCACGGAGGGGAGCCACGGAGGGAGCCACGGAGGGAGCCACAGATGGGAGCCACAGATGGGAGCCACGGCCTGGGCAGAAGGAAGCCGTGCTCCTGGGAACATGGGGCGGCTCCTGGGGTATGAACAGCGAACGGGGCCGCTGTGATGCCCGAGGTGATGGCGCCGTGGCAGTGCACGTGGCTTAAAGAGGCAGTGGTGCCGTGGCAGTGCACGTGGCTTAGGCATGTGGCGTGAGGCGGGGAGGGGCGTGGAGAGGCTGCGGAGGGAGCTGAGCCGCCTGCGACCCCGGACTGGGCTCCCGGGGTGACTCAGGTCCTCGGAGCTCGGCGGAGATGCCAGGGCCCTTAGGACGGTCACACGGGGGCCTCCCGCTGGCCGGTGGCAGTGCCCTGGCCTGCGGTGTCCGAGCCAGAGGGAGGGGGTGGTGCCCGAGGTGGCTGGCTTTGGTGCCAGAGGGGCTGAACTTGGGGCAGGGTGTGGTTACACTGCAGAGGGGGTGGTTGCATTTGGTTCTGGATGTAGTTGCCTTTGGTGCTGAGGGAAGTCGGATTCAGTTCTGGGTGTGATTGGGTTTGGTGCTGAGTGAGACTGGATTGGTGTCAACTGAGGTTACATGTGGTGCTGGTTGTGGTTGGACGTGGGGAGGGGGTGGTTGGATGTGGTGGGGGGAGAGGTTGGGTTTGATGGGGGGGTGGATGTGGTGTGGGGGTGGGTGGATGTGGTGTGGGGGTGGGTGGATGTGGTGTGGGGGTGGGTGGATGTTGTGAAGGGGTGGGTGGATGCCGTGAGGGTGGTGGTGGCACGGCGCCCCCTGTTGGCCGGCTGGGAGCCTGTGCCTTGAATAACCTCCTTGATCCCGTGTAGGTGGCGGACGGCAGGTGCCACAAAAGCCGCCCCGAGGCGCGGCCCGGGGGCCTCCCCAGCTAGTGCTGCCCCCGCCCCCGCCCTACCCTCCTCCGGACGCGGATGGGCCGGAGCCCCTCGGCTCCCCTGGGGAAGGCACTGCTCCCGAGGCCGTGGACCCGAGGCCCACACGTACGTGCCCTCCGTGCCCGTGCTGGCGGCTCCCTCGGTGCTGGTGCGGCTCTCCCGCCTCCTCTGCTCCTCTGTCTGGCGTCCGCGCCTCTGCTCTGCTCTCTTCTCCTCTCCTCTGCTCTCCTCTGCTCTCCTCTCCTCTCCTCCCAGCGCTCCAGGCAGTGGGCCCCAGTGCCCACAAGTGCCCTGCCCAAATGGTGATTTCCCTGCTCACCACCAGGGGGCGTTAGCTTCAGCCAGCGAGTGCCCGTGGGTGGGGACGGTCAGCCAGGAGCTAACACTCCTCGAATTAGGACCGACCTCAGACCGTGAGCATGGCAGCCCCAGCGCCCCCAGCTCCACCAGCACGGCCCAGCACGGCCCAGCTCGGCCCCAGTGCCCCCAGCGCCCCCAGCACCGCCCAGCACGGCCCAGCTCAGCCCCAGCGCCCCCAGCACGGCCCAGCACCACCCAGCACCGCCCAGCTCGGCCCCAGTGCCCCCAGCACGGCCCAGCACTGCCCAGCACCGCCCAGCTCGGCCCCAGCGCCCCCAGCTCCGCCAGCACCACCCCTCACACTGGCTGGCGGGGCTCCCTGGGGCACTGGCGAGTGCCCGGGGCTGTGGTCAGCGCCCGGGGGGCAGGGAGCCAGACCCGGGGCGTGGCTCCGCGGACAGGAGCCGGAGGCCCGGGAGGAGCAGTGCTGGAGCTGCGTCCGGCCGCACCGGGCGGAGGGCTCAGTGGGCGGCGCCTTGTCCAGCGGAGCAGCGGGCCCCCGGCCGGGTTCTCTGGCCGTGCTGAGCTCCGCGTGGTCCCCGCCGGCAGGGTGGGTGCAGGCCCGGCCTCCTCCGGGCCCCCGGCCGCCTCCTCCTTCCCTCTCAGCGTGTCCGTGGATGTCAGGGAGGACAGGGGGGCGGGGCGGGAACATCCCTGACGGGAGAGGATCACGCACGGCCGCCTCCCGCCCGCGCCCACCGCGGACGGAGCCACAGCCTGGGCGTGGGCCCTGGCCGGGACTGAACCCTGACCTCCTGGTTCCGGTCATCGCCCAGTCCCTGTGCCACGCCGGCGGGCGTGGGCCTGGCTGCCGACCGCCTCGGGGGCCGGGAGGCTGCCCATCCATCCTCCGTGGAGCTGCTCTTGTTGAGAAGCCGGCCCTGCGGGCGGAGGGAGCTCCCGTTTGTTCACGCGTGGCCGCCGCGTGGCCGGGGTCAGGGCGTGCGCTCCCGGCCCGATCGGCGGTGCCTTCTCCCGGAGGCCGTGGCCGGGCGCGGGGGCATCGAGGTGGCAGACACGTATGCACGGGGCGGGGGGGGAGCTCCGTGACTCGGCCGTGGCACTGCGGGCGCCGTGAGCGGGTCTGGTGGCGTGTGTGAGCGTGACTGGGACCGCGGGACAGCCTGTCCTTTCTTATTAATAAGCTTCCACATTAACCCGCCACGTGGCCACGTCCACGGCGGTGTCCACGGCAGCGCGTGGGCACGTGGCACCGATGCACGCGCACCGGTGTCTCTCACGGCTCTAACCGGCGTGCTCTCTGCTCTTCGCTGTGGCCTCGGGAGCATGGAGCACCCAGCTCTGGCTGGGTACGCTAGGCTGCTAACCAGGCACGGCAGGCTGCTAACCAGTCCTCAGTTACCCGCACGAGAAGCCCGGGGTCACACACCCGCGCACACGGAGCCGCACGGCGCCCCCGCTGGCTTTGTTTTATTAAACCGCCCGGCTGTCCGGGGAGGTCCGACCTCAGGCACGGCGTCCTCCGGGCTGATTTCCCTGAGTCGAGTTCACACGACTCAGTCATATAGAGAACATGGGATCCCGCCGCGCCCTCGCCAGCCCCGCAGCCCCCCGGCGCTGGCGGTGGGGTGAACAGGAGGGAGTATTTATACCGTGGGAAGGGGCACGTGACAGCCCGCGGCTCTGCCTGGCCAGCAGGGCCTGCGGTCCCTCTGAGTGCAGACACTGTCCACAGCCCGGAGGAGGCGGGCGGCCGGGCCGGTGATTGCCATGCCGCCCGTTAGCCCCACCGCGGACCAGCCTGAGGAGGCGCCGGGCACAGCCATGGGCATGTGGCTCCGTGTGCGCTGTGAGCCCCGGGCCGAGGCTGCATGTGCACACACGTGTGGACACGCATGACCACAGACATACCCCTGTGTAAGCACACTCTGGTTTGTCCCCACAGTTTACTGCTGCGCGTCATTCCCTAGCCACACCAAGCGCTTCTGACGCCGCCTCCGGAGCGCCCGCCGCGCCCTCCCGTCTGCCCGCACGGTGCCCGGAGCGGGCCGGGTGGGGCCAGGCTCACCTCCTGCAGGACTCACTTCCTGCGGGACTGGCACGCACCCAGCCGGGCGTGGCCTGCTGCTGCCCAGTGGAGGCCACGGCCTGAGTGTCCGTCCTCGGTGGTGGTGGTGGCGGTGGTGGCTGCTGACTGGCCCCTCGCTGAGCTGC